GTTTTTTCCATCTTGACCATCAAGCAACTACTGATCAAAAACAAAGTCCTGATGTTCTTCCAGCTAGCAAGTGCATTTTTCATATAAGTGTTTTTCTGAAAATAAGGGCATGGAATGGACAAGGCGAGAAAGAAAAAGGTACAAGGGCCCCACTCCCCATTTAAGTTCATCTCATGCCAACAATATAAAAAATATAATGAGAAGTAGAATTTCTCCATATTTCTAGCTGGCATAAGAATCTAGTAGGACTATAAGACCTCTACAAAGTATGGGACCCTAAAATAGCAGAATTAGTGTTGAACTCTGCATCACTGCCAAGACAGAGGTTTATTATGTGGCTAGCAATGCAAAATAAATTGCTTACGAAGGGCAGGCTGTTGAATATGAACATTCAGGTAGATGATAGGAACTGTTCCCTGTGTCAAGCTGCAGTATTAGAGACAAACAATCACTTGTTTGTGGAATGTGAGTATGCTGTCAAAGTGAGAGATGCACTAGCACAATGGTCAAAAATTTCAGTCCCGACAAGAGATTTGAAGACTACACTGGAGCTGATCAGAGTGAAACATTGGAATTAAGAAACAAGTGATAGCTGCTATTTTGGGAGCAATAGTATATCACATATGGAAACCCAGAAACTGTACACAGTTCAAGGAAGTACAGGTACAACATAGAGAGATAGTGAGTACAATCATTTGTTAAATCGTGGAGAGGATAGAGATGTATAAGTATACTAAGGAAGCAAATAGATGTAGAAGTTTTTGGCAAAAATTCTGGAATTAGTTTGTTATATTGTTGAAGCCAAACTTTTTTTTTTGTGCAAGGTAAAGTTTGTTGAAGCCAAACTTTACTACTCCTTAATAGATAAGGGTGGTGAGGGTTGGATGAGACCAGTTCTTGTATGTGGTGTTTTTTGTTAATGGTAATATTCACATTGGTTGCCAAAAAAAACATCATTAAATTATATTTTCGATTAACTGGTATCACCTATGTAACTACTTTTTTCTCTAAAATGAGTCTCAATATGTGTGACTCATCTTGCGAATAAAAAAATGAGAGACTTTCTTAGCTGGTGTTTAATATTTTATTGTGCAACCACTAAATGCAACAAAAATGCAGATGAATCCATCCATAAGGAAAGATTGTTTTGCTGGTCAAACTGACACCATTAGTAGTTAAAGTGTGTTAAAAAGCTTCTTTTAAACACCTTTTTCATGAGCATACAAGTGAATCAACATAGTAACGCTGCAGGGAAGAATACATAATTTAAAGGACTTGAAGTGAATAATAAGTACCTTTGGTGTTAAAGGGACACTGCCAAGATTTTCAGGAAAACTACGTCCACTAAGTCTTTGATGACCGTCATTGAAGGCTACATCAAGAGATGATAAAATGCTTGAAGGTAAAGACATCTGCAAAGGATCCCCAAGATTATACTGATGACAGGGGCATATTACTCTCCACCAGGGAGACCATTCAAAAGTAGGGCCGACGTACCTTTGTTAGAGAAACAGATGGAAACGAAATGCCAATGAAATATCCAAATACCATTCCCATGATTGTTGTTATTATTAGCCTGACACTGTCATTTGATCTTTTGAAAACCCCAGTGAACCTTAAATAACAAAGAGGGTATTTTGTAAGCTAATAATGTAAATAAAACAAAGAGATGCGGCAACTAAAACTCGGTAAAATTTATCACAACGGCATATCTTTTGGCCTACAAACCTGCGGTGAGAGGTTACCATTGTGATAATAGTTGCTCAACTCAAAGGTCATGCACTAGGCAGAAACCAATTCCTTGAGCAACCCCAGAAATGAATATAGCATCATCCACTTTCAAAAGAGCAAACTTGACATGCCTGAAAGAATAAAGATACATTACTCGGGGCGGTGTATACAATCCATACCTACATACTACACTAAAAAAAATTCCCTCTAAAGGTTTGATAAACTGTTCACAATTTTAACTGAGGAAGTCAAAAATTAATTGAAAATCCTCACCAATTTAACAGTTGTTGAACTTGTATTTCAGTTTAAGAACTGTCTAGTTGGTCTCTCATAGAAAATAACTGTAACTTCAACTTATGAATCTTATTAGTTTCCGATCAAATGGGCAAACAAATCTTACTTGAGCTATTGATCTGGGCCATAAAAAAACCCTAAGACCCGTCAATTAATCAAGAATACTTTAAACTAACGAGTAGAACATCAAAAATGCTACTTGTAATCAATGTGAAAACCTCAATCCCCATATAAAAATCCAAAAATTTGCAAAAAAAACTATTAAAATGTAGTTCATTTTGTCAAAAAAAAAAAGGAATTACAACCAGAGATCAAATCCCGAATATAAAGCCCTAGAATCCAAACAAATTAAGTGTTTTTCAATGCAGAACGCAGCATGTAAAGGATCAAAATTGATGAACAGATGAAGAAAAAGTGGGTTTTGAGAGTCTTACAGGTTTTCCCGATGGTTTGAGAGAGAGATTTCGATGGGTATCAAATTTCAATGTTTGGTTATATTGTGGGACGAAATGTCAAATATTGAAAAGTATTGTTCCCCAGAAAGAGGATTTGTGTAATCACTCCGTACCATACCATACCGTCCCTTCCCACACAATATATAATTAAAATAAACTGACTTAATATTTTACAAAATTTGATCCAGATAAATTTATATTATTGAACATCATTTATTAATCAAAAAGTACATATTAACCATCCTAAAATGGTAAGAAATCATTTTTTAAATAATTGAGACTTGCTCCTTGTTTGGACGGTTTATATCGTTAATTTAAATATAATATCTACTTAATTATTATGTAAATTTTATTATATCGCATTAAATTCAGCTTTATCAAAGACACAAAATCTCGTTTTGGGTGAGGATAAATTTATTGTAATTGTGTTATTATTTTAATACCTTTTTTTCATTTTATCTTTAATTTGTTATTTAATAATTTTTTTTATTTTTAATAGTAGTTCTGCTTTAATTATAGATTTATATTCCATTGTTAATATGTGATATTATGTAATGAAAAAAAACAATAAACAACGTTGAGATATTATATTATATTATATATAATATAATATAATATTTTATATATCCTGAAATAATACGTAATAACTATCCAAACAAGAGAGCGGGTAAATAGTCTTTAATTGCTATGGAAGATTTCTATAATAATATACTTCAATTTTTCAGTTTAAGAATGGAGACACACTGCCTACATATGTAACTGATGGCTTACCAACAATTAAGAGGTTGCTCCGTATAAATCTCACGAAGAATTTGAGTTACAAATGATCAATTGTATTTTCAATGTTGAATTTGAATTTTGCCTCTTCTTTTTCACGTTTCGATTGAAAATTTTGATAAAGTTAATGAATCTAAAGTTTTAAATTTCGAATTAAAGAAATATAATTACTTTAATTATTGAAAACTTTCATAAAGTGAATGAATCTAAACTTTTAAATTTCGAATTAAAGAAATACTCCTATAGTTATTTTAATTATTAAAATATGGGTTCTCTTTTGATGTGGTATTGTGTAACACCAACATGTGTAAAGCTTGATGATAATGTACCCACGTGGTGCCCACAAAAAATTTGCATGTCTGCTTTCTTAGAACACAGCCTGTGATCCACCAAAGAATCATATGATTTGAAAAAAAAATACAAATAATAATAATAATAAAAAAAAAATAATATATATATATATATATATATATATATCATAGTA